CCATTCGTATTTTATGTTAGCCCCTTCTTCTTCTTCTTTCGTTCGCCTGGAATAAGTTGTCTATATCAGCAGTTTTGTCTCTTGAATAAATGTCACTGTCGCTGTTTGTTCATTCAGTGGTCTATAGAGTTTACATTCCACTGTTGTTCTTTCAGGCCAAAAGGTTTGCCTAAATGTGTCAAATTCGGTGCAGTCCTGGAGTACATGCTCTGCTGTCTGGGGCACCTTTCCACGGGTGCACATGGCTGATACACACGCCATGGAAAATGTTAACCCCTCACATACCAATTGTTGCTGTTAATGGAGTGTTCGAAGAAGTCAAACGAGGCCATAGCAGTGCAAAGATGTTTTTAATACCCGTTTCTTATGGCATTGAAAAGAGTCAGCACACTAACAGATCATTTTGGAGATGGGAGGATGGGATGAAACATAATCCACAAGACGACGACATCATCAGACGAATAAAATAAATCGTGTCAACTGAAATAAAAACAAATCACATTTCACATTGCTGCTTTTGACGTTTTTCGGTTATGGGTCCCCATTATGGGGGGGGGGGGGGGGAACAAGACAAGACCTAATGCACTCTAACAAGCATTCCCTTCAAGACGATTGATTAGTATTTCGCTGTATCTGAACGCGTTTGGCCTAGAGTAAATATAGCAGTAGAGCGGTAAACCAAAATTCCAACTCCTTTTCAGAAAAGAAAAAAAAAACAAAAACTTCACTACGTTCAACCTGCTGCTAGCTAGCAAAAGCTGCAAACAGTCTCCGGCTATATTTGTGGTCTTGTTTATTTGTGCAATTTTCGAGGCTAAAGTTGTGGTATTTGCGCCGTCTCTGAGCTTGATGCTTTTTTTTTTAAATCTAAGTCAGACCGCTTATTCCCTATCCTGTTGTCAACTGTGTTCTTCTTGTCCTTTCATTTCTGATGTTTCCTTCTTGGTTTCAGCTCCTTTTGATTTGGCCAGGTGTATTTCGTTGGAGGGCGAGCTTCTCAACATAACGTTCTTTGGATCAACATTTATAGATTTTAAATTTTGAGTACTTTACTTTGCCAAAAAGTACTGAAAACAGTTGCTGTGTTTCGATAGATTCGAAATGGGAAAAAATACCGCGTGTGACCATAGTGGTCTTTAAGCCGTCTTCCTGCAAAAAGAACGGATTAATCGTGTCATGGTGATGTGTGTGAAAGGTTAGGTGAAGCCTCACAATGACTATTTGCCATTTGTTATTACGTGTCCAATTGTGTCGGTTTGGCTTGGTAGCTAGGCTTTGGTGTACTTAAATACCATATCCATTAAACACGCATCACGTCACCAGTCTTTACCATCGTACCATTTGGGGAGGAGAGGGGTGGAATTGATGATTATGTGCTCTGGCACTGTCAGTATCGATCCCTTTGTCTTCCCTATTTGCTGTCAGTACGACCCAACCGCCATTTTAGGGGTGAACGCAAGAGAAAAATAACTAACATATTTTAACTGTAACGTAAGGATCTTTTAAACGCCATCATGCATTTTGGGCATATAGGGCTAGAAGTATATTTGATAGACCAATCGGCACTAAATGGGGATAGGATCAGCATCACGTAGGCCTCCTTTACTTCCAAGGACTTAACTTAGTGCTAATTTAAGGCTGGGAACAATTGGTAGCCAAGGTTATTTTAATTTGCTTAACTTTTTTTTTAAAAACCAAATTTGTAAAGAAAAATGAAAACAAGGGTCTTTGATTTAACAGTAGAGAAACAGCAATAACGGGAATTAAAAAACAAAACTGACCCTCCAAAATACAACATCAAAGTAAAAGAGACAAACCTCAAGCAAGTTGATATGTTTGGTAAGCGGGTACCCTGATAACATAAAATAGATGTTTTAAAGAAGTTAAACGTAGAATAGCTCAAGCAAAAGCAGCTTTTTCAAAACTGAAGAATATTTCATGTCATCTTTCTGTGTCAATCGAGACAAGAAAGAGAATTACTGAAATGCTATTCAAATCCTAGCATGATACGTGCAAATGAATTATGGTAGATTGGTGAAAACTTTCTTGGAAGCTGCGGAGATGTGGTTGTATAGACGAATGATGAGAATACCGTGGACATCTATAAAAGAGTAATTAGTGTATTTCAAAAGAAACGGATACTCGAAGAGAACTAATTGCCCACATCAGAAAGAGACATTCTACATTCTTTGGTCATGTGATGTTTTTGTTTTGTTTGTTTTAGTATCCAGAAGCCATGAGTTGTTAACCCTTAGGCTCAGTATTATGGATATCCTAACCTTTCGGCCTTGACTCCATTGTAAATACCGTAAATCTGGGAGAAAATGTGGTGTGAACCCGGACCACAAGGAGTTCGTCACCCGGTCTCCGCAAATCCGGTTTAGCCAACTACGCTAGAGAGCCGGGCGGTCATGTCATAAGAAGGAGAAGCTTAAAGTACATGGTGACAGTAGAAAAGTTGCAGGTGAGGAGAGGCAGGGGGAGACCAGAATGAAAAGATGATGGACAGTTTGACAACAGCATATGGAGGATCATGTGTTAGTTAGTTAGTTAGTTAGTTAGTTGGGTTATCGTCATTGCACTCCGGACATGTCCATAGGTGCTCAGATCCTCCCCTCAGTATGAACCCCAACGTCCGATGGCTAATAGTACCAGTTCTATGTTGATTAACAAGTCTTCTGACGTGTCCGGTGTGCGTCTCGTTTTTTGCTGTGCCGATCTTAATTCCCAAGTCTGCCATTCTGGCGAGTGATGTGGATTCACTGCCACCAAAGTCCTCTATCCTTCCCATTTCTCTGAGGGCATTGATAATATCAGCATGATCCATAGGCCGACCGTCAGTAGTGATAGCGGATCCAGCCAACATGTCAGCTCTTTCATTTCCATCGACGCCTGCGTGTCCCGGAACAAAAATAAAGGTGACTCCACGCACAGTGGACTTCTGTAATGATTCAAGCCATTGTCTTCGCACTGAACCTGCCTGAACCCTCCGGATCATACTCATTGAATCACTGAGTATACATATGCGGGTGTATTTTTGTGTTTCAAGCCAGGCAAACGCTTGCGTCACTGCCATCACCTCCATCGTCATGCTGCTGGTTGTCATGGAGAAGGCACCGTTGGCTTCTTTGACTGTTCTGCCCGATGAGCGTGCTGTAAATGCCCATGCGCTTCTTCTTTGGAGGATCATGTGTGTCAGAGTTGATCAAAAGTAAACGAGACAGAAGCTTGTGGATCGACATAACTAACAACGCCTCACGGCATGGACTTTAAAAAACAAACTTTTAATTTTGTTTATATTATTATTAATATTACTTAATATTATTTTTACATGTTTTACTTTATGTTCCAGGTCATGAATCCAGCGTACGGTGAATTCATCCAGCCATCACCTTGTCACACAGCTAACATTTGTCAACGATGGACATAACCTTCCCTATCCGCTCTTGACATTCTGACAACAGAAGCCGAGCGTGATCATCAGAGATCACTCCAAAGTCGCCTGTAACACAACAATGTCTGAAGCCTTCACTGTGTGACTCTGAACTCAGCGGTCGATCAATTTCATGCCACTACGAAAAGTCCCAGACAAAGAATCGAAAATGGCTTTGGGATGAGATTCTTCTGTGAAATAATTATTTTCAGACAATTGGTCCCAGTAAGGAGATATTGATTGTCTCGATCAATACTGGGCGAAGACTTATTTGGAATTTTTGAGGGAGGCGATTTCAGACAAAATAGGTGTCTGTTTCTACGTTGTTATCAGGTTTTCAATTTGTGTCCCAAAAACAAAAACGCATTAGATGTCATCAACTATTGGTTGTCATATTTAGTAATCTATTATGTCTATTAATTCATCGATAGAGCTTATTGGGGAAGACAAGTGTCATCATATTTTAACACACAGCATTGTTTATATTATATCTATGAAATGATAAACTCATTATCGGTTTACTGTTGGTGTTGAACCCACTGGTCATCAGCCACAATTCTTCTAGCAATTTTCAGAGTTTCAGAGACCATGCTTACCAAACGTAGCGTAGGCAGTCATTTGCCGCTGCTTACGATTTAGAATGTGTTTTCAAAAACAAATGGTAATGAACTGATTGGCACTCACATATGAAGAGGCCATGCAGAACAACATTGCAATGATATGCTAGAACAGCTTGAAAGACAGAGTAACCTCTGTGTAACTGAAGGCTTCCTTAACTTTTCGAAAAAGCACCAAGTCGAAGCTATCCGTTCAAAGTCACATCTAATACTCAGGTGTTAGATACAATGAACCATCCAGGAATATGTTTCAGATAGCGCTTAGACAATGCACAAAGAGAAATAAAACTTCAAGTCTGTACAGTGCTTGTTGACTTCACCTATACATAGCAAACGTTCATTTAGCAGGTGACGGGAAAACCTTCATGCAAACATCAGCAGTAATTCATCTACCGTAATGAAAAGACAGCTCCAATTGAAACAACGGACAAGTCATTCAGGTAGGTACTGAATCGCTTACTAAATTCTTCCCCGGATCCTGTGAATAAACCTGACATGTAAAGCCAACATAGCTGACTTGGATACATTGAAAGGAACCTGCTGCATTTCCCCATATGCTGATAAAATGTTTGCTCAACTTCTAAACTTTTCCCTTTTTGTTAAAGTATTGGAGCAACGATACATTTTAAGAGCCTAGACTTCATAAATTGAATTTTACTAATGCAACTGATCTAACATTCCTAAAAGTAAACACTATTAGCTTCCTACAGAAACATTCAACTAGATACTCATGATGGAAACTCTACACATGCCGAAAATGAAGAGGCAGGAAATGTCACGACATTGTGTTAAGGGTTTTTAACAGACATTCATTTTATTCCCACATCATTACCCTCAGGAAAAAACTCAATAATGAATTCCATATAAGGGATCAAGGGAAATAATCTGTAAAGTGATAACCGGGAATAATTTGGAGTCTGTATCTTCAATTATACAAATCCTAATTAAAGATGGATTTACATTCCATTGACGTAATGGAGAATACAAGCATACGACAGATGCAAATTCCAGGCACTCCCAAGCTTCAGGGAAGTATCGATCTTGAAAATCACGGATACCTAGTGATACTAACCGTCTCTGTCTGCCTGGTATCGCTCATTGTCATCACAATCCTCACAAACTTCATCGTCGTCGTGGTGTTTGTAACCAGGGAAAATAGAAAACGAAGCAAAAACATATACTTAGCCAATCTGTCTCTCATAGATTTGATCATTGGTGTCACTGTAATGCCGGTGACAATGCTAAGTATGTTGAACAGAAACTGGAATCTGCCCAACGTTGCCTGTAGGATACATCTGGTAGCTCTTCATTCACTTGTGTTTGCCTCACTCCTGGCCGTGTTGCTAGTGAGCGCTGATAGGTGGTACTCTATTTGTTATCCGTTCACATACCGTGTTAGACCAACAGGACGGATAGCTCTGTATGCTGTTATTACCTCCTGGGTGTTCTCTTTCACACTACACGTTCCTTTTGTAGGAGTCTGGGACTTTATTATACACGAAAACTGGCTGGAGATTGAAGTGGGGTTATGCCAGGCATCCAGGCGGCAACATCCTGGGATTACTTTACTTACAATGATTAAATATATTCTTCCACATGTGACCATGTTACTGCTCAAATGCAGTCTGTATAGAAAGATAAAAAAGAGAAAGAATGTTAATGTCCGTAGATCTATTAGTAGCGTGGACACAGCCGCGTTCTGTCTCATCCGAGCATCAATGTCAGAAACAGCCATGAATGCTTTAGCTGAGGCAGCAGAGACCAACTTAAACATAGGACCGCGGGTGAGGATTACCTGCCCACCAATAGAACGTCGAAATACAATGGATCTCCTACCACCACTGAATCCAACACGACCAGGGGCCAGTAGAAGCTGGTCAGGCTCCCCTGACCAGCGTCTTAGTTTCCCATGTCATCCAACATTAAAGCGGCGAATGTCATTGCAGGACTGTCTTCTCTCACACAACAAGCGAAATAGCCGTCGTTTTCCGAATGGTTTTTCCAACGATGGGAACAACATTAATAGGCGAGCCACAATCGGGGACCTGGCGAAGAACCTCCTTGAAAAACAGGACTCCAAAGCAGCCTGGTTTTTGTCTCTTCTGCTGGCGACTTCAATTACATGTTGGACTCCATGGACAATCTTTAGTTTATGTCATCAGTTTGTAGTAATTCCTAGCTGGCTCAACAGCCTGGCCTTGTGGGTACTGTTAGCGAACTCAACAGCTAATCCATTCCTCTACGGACTGCTCAATAAAGACTTTCGACGGGTTGTCTCCTCCTGGCTGTACTTGAGAGGAAGCAAAAAGAAACGTCTCAAAACGGCCTTGCGAATGCTGAGTTGGCAAATGGCTTGGGGAACTATTGATCTAGGAGTCGAAGGTCGACGAACCCCAGAAGCTCGTTCAAGTTTGACGCCATGCAAAGAAGGAGACGAGTGTTGATCGAAAAAGAAAGCGGCTATGTGTTTGAATTCTCGGTTTAAAATATCAGAACATTTCCACAATCATTATATTATATACTGTTTTTTCTATACGTGTTGAATTATTTACACAGATCATCAAAATACAACAGAATCAAGTGTAATTTGTTATTTTTACTGTGCTTTTACATATTGTCCGCGGTATCGAATCTGGTTGAATTCTAGAAACATCTTCTGTCTAGATTTTTTAAAATACATTTTTTTAGTAAGTGAGAATTGACTTTGATATCTTAACATACTGGGGGTACTTACAGCCCATTTCGTAATGTGTTCCATCATTTATTCATTGTCTCTTTGTGTCATTCTATGTCACATAGGGCTTACAGTCTAATTCTCTTTTCCCTTCTATACTTCGATGCCATGAATGGAATCCAGAACAGCACATTTGGCTTCTTCCCTCAACGTTCGCCTGAGCGTTTTTAATGGTCCTCCTCGTTTTCTCAATACCTTTATTGTCAGAAAGGGGAGGGGTGGGGGACGGGAGGGGGCTGCGTGGTCTCGAGGCATGGTGTCCGCCTCGAGTGCTAGAGGTTCCAGGTTCAGGCCCCGGTGAAGGCTGGGATTTTTTCAAGTAGACTTCCAGTAATTTTTCCTGGTCTCTGGGTAGTGTGATCGGACGCCCGTGTGTATTGTTACGCACGAAAAACATCCATTGGCAGTTGGAAATCGAAAAGAGTAGCCTAACAGCGCCTACTGTACTGGGCAAATTTTAGAGTTCAAAATCTACTCAAAATATGTCAGGATCCTCGCCGGTGCTACAGAGCCCGCGCATTGCGCAAGGTTACTTTTGACTCGACCTGAGTTAGAAGTAGAACAAAGCCTTTATGGGTTACTACCCTTGTTCCATGATGATGAACCGTTATTCAAGCCTCACACCTCAATCTGTTGTAGGTGATGATTATTCTAAAAGCACATTGTTTATGCTGCACACACTTCAAAATCATTCTCTAATATGTTCGTTCTCAGCCGATCCGCATTTCTCATAGAGTAAATAAACAACATGGCATACTTTTGTTGACTAATTTGTTTACTTTATATTTTTTCTGAACTTGTCATTTCTCATTCAGTTGTTACACTAACCTACTCTAGTCTAATGAGTTGTTTTTTTTTCAAACCAGATTATCTTTCAAATTGTTATTATTTTAATATGTTTTGACCAAAACCGTTATTACTGAAAGTAAACACTCTCAGGGACAATATGGGTTAAATAATATAGACATTATGTCAATGTAACGCGTCGCTTGTTTCATATAATGAGTCAAAACTAGCATATCTGGAATTCAACCAGACGTATTGTAAACATAATCTCACTTTGCGCCATATCGATTTTGTTATTGTTAATTTTCCTGCATATATTTTTGATAAATTATTGTTTTTGAGTATTCCAACGTATAATGCATTTTCACCGGTTTTATTATTATTATTCTTATGATTCTGGTAATTGAAATAATTGCATGCATGTCAGTTAGGCAGGTTCGTTTTACGTTGTTTAAACCTGGGTCAATGTATCAAACAAATTCACTGGGAAAAAAAAAGTTATAATTGTGTTATACCCACAGCAAATAAACATACACCCCCAAATCACATTTAGACTATTCCTTCTAACCTCCCTGCCCACATTCGGGAGAGATTGGCACACATTTCCAATAACAAGAAAGTTGGGTTAGGTTTACGATAATCTTCCCAAATAGAGTAGGTCACTTTTCATTTACAAGTTTGTTGGGCTGTTCGACTTTCCTGAAGGTAACGGGTGTGTCCCGCTCTGTTGTTTGTTTTCTGTGATGTCTTCAATGACGTTTTCATTCCGAGAAAGAGAATGTCTGTGACATAGGTTACCGCCCTTTCTGTGGTGGTTGTGTTAGGACCAGTTTCTCCATGATTTTGGAGTGTTAAAAGCGCTGGCGTGCTGAAATATACAACATGCGATATAAACGGCATTGCGGAACACTCCCGTAACCTTTGTCAAGGTGACAGGTTCAGGAACTAGCAATCAGAAGTGAGGTAGTGTGTATATGGGCGCGGCTTGGGGAGATCAACGTTACTTTTGCCAAAAAGCATTCTAAATCAACATTTACGGCAGGTAAGTGCGAAGAAGAAGAAGAAACTGAGGACTGAAATGAGATGTGTCAGGCCAAAGATCGCACGTCAAATCCTAATTATAAACCACAACATTGAGCGCAAACCACCATTTCAAATGCGAACACAGAAGTAGGAGAAATATGGCAATCTTCTTCTTCTTCTTCGACTGTCGGTCAAAAAGTAATAGCTCTTGTTGTGAATCTGTGTAAATACTTTATCGATGTGCAATTTGTAAATTTAGCTTGATTACCATTCTGTCCAATCTGTTTCAGTAATGGGTGACACCACTGTGACGTTTTAAAATGGCTTTCATATAACCTAGTGTCATAGAGCTACTCAATGCTGAAGGCGAGACATCAATTTGCATCCACGAACGTTTGAAGAATGTTTATGGAGATTCGACAGTGAATGTTAGCACTGTCCGACGTTGGATACCTCATTGTGGTGAAGCTGAAGTAGGTCACTCATCAGTGGCTGACGCAAAGCGGACTGGCCACCCGTCTTCCGCAGTTTGGATATTTTCTCCAGGTCATGCAGGCGTGATGGGAAATGGGCAGGCAGAAAGACTGGTCAGTTTCTCCATCTCTTGGTGGTGAGTTGGTGTATGACAAGCTAGATAATATAGTAGCGAGTGAACAGTGCGAAGGCACAACGGTCTGAGGCGAATGGCGCTGCAATGATTTAACAGGGGATATGACCGACGACCAACACTCAAGGCAAAGGAAAGTCTGCACTAATATACAATAAGACAGTTACTCGTGACATCGGAATTGGAACTCTTCGCTTGCTGCTGAATATGGGGACGGAGCGCTTATCGGGGTGTCTATGGTACTATGATGTCGATTTTTATTATTCATCATTCTTCCGCAGTTACCCCACACAAGATTCATCGAGCTGGGTAACTGGACGAACTGATGATCTAAACTCCAAAGTGGAATACAGTTCATCCAGTGTTACCCGGTGATCAGCACGAATGACATCATCAACACTCGATGAATGTTGTATGGAGTAACTTCGATAGACGACCGGTCAGTCTTCTTTGCGTCAGTCACTGGGGATTGATCAATTTCACTTTGTTACAACCATGTACCCATAGACGGTTGATCAACGATGTACCTAGCGTCGGACAGTGCTAACATTCACTGATGAATCTCCATAGCCATTCTTCATAGTTCATGAATGCGAACTAGGGTCTCGCCTTCCGCATGGAGGAATTCAATGACATTACTTTGTTTCAACAGAACGTCTTTGATGGCCATTTTTCAAACCAATACAGTTGTGTCATCCGTTACTAAAACCGGCTAGTACTGCTATAAAGTGCACAAGTGCTTGAGAAATTCAGCTAAATATCAAAATTGCACATCGATAGAGTTTTTACACACATACCAAAAAGGAGGCATTACTTGATCTCTCAGTATCAAGGCTCAAGCCACTTTATATGCAGTGGGCAGTGCTAACACAAGCGGTCTGAGACTAGAAATTCAGTTCATTTTCAATAAAATTACAATAGTATTGTCAATCAGTACGTTGGATATTTTCTTGGCAATTATTTTTTTAGAAAAGGGGGGGGGGGGGGGGGGGTTAGGATTGATTGTCGTTCGCCGCCGTATTTTCCTCCAGATGTAGACAAAAGGGGTCAAGATAGATCATATGTTTTAAAGCAAGCCACATAGTCAATACAAATGCATCAAAGATATAACTCAGTAATAATATCTGAAAGTGGATCATGTGTCTGTCTGCCTGCCTGCCTGCCTGCCTGCCTGCCTACCTGCCTGCCTGCCTGCCTGCCTGCCTGCCTGCCTGCATGCCTGCCTGCCTGCCTGCCTGCCTGCCTGCCTGCCTGCCTGCCTGTCTGTCTGTCTGTCTGTCTGTCTGTCTGTCTGTCTGTCTGTCTGTCTGTCTGTCTGTCTGTCTGTCTGTCTGTCTGTCTGTCTGTCTGTCTGTCTGTCTGTCTGTCTGTCTGTCTGTCTGTCTGTCTGTCTGTCTGTAAGATTGTATGTATGTATGTATGTATGTATGTATGTATGTATGTATGTATGTATGTGTGTGTATGTATCTGTGTGTGTATGTATGTATATATGTGTGTGTGTGTATGTATGTATATGTGTGTGTGTGTATGTGTGTATGTATGTATATGTGTGTGTGTGTATGTATGTATATGTGTTAGTTAGTTAGTTAGTTAGTTAGTTAGTTAGTTGGGTTATCGTCATTGCACTCCGGACATGTCCATAGGTGCTCAGATCCTCCCCTCAGTATGAACCCCAACGTCCGATGGCTAATAGTACCAGTTCTATGTTGATTAACAAGTCTTCTGACGTGTCCGGTGTGCGTCTCGTTTTTTGCTGTGCCGATCTTAATTCCCAAATCTGCCATTCTGGCGAGTGATGTGGATTCACTGCCACCAAAGTCCTCTATCCTTCCCATTTCTTTGAGGGCATTGATAATATCAGCATGATCCATAGGCCGACCGTCGGTAGTGATAGCGGATCCAGCCAACCTGTCAGCTCTTTCATTTCCATCGACGCCTGCGTGTCCCGGAACAAAAATAAAGGTGACTCCACGCACAGTGGACTTCTGTAATGATTCAAGCCATTGTCTTCGCACTGAACCTGCCTGAACCCTCCGGATCATACTCATTGAATCACTGAGTATACATATGCGGGTGTATTTTTGTGTTTCAAGCCAGGCAAACGCTTGCGTCACTGCCATCACCTCCATCGTTATGCTGCTGGTTGTCATGGAGAAGGCACCGTTGGCTTCTTTGACTGTTCTGCCCGCTGAGCGTGCTGTAAATGCCCATGCGCTTCTTCTTTGGCGTATAACGGATCCGTCTGTATAGATTATTGCATCTGCTTCGTCTGAATTTTCACCGATGAGAGCGTT